TAGTTCAAGCCCACCTTCTTCCATCCAGGGGGAAAAAAAAGTCCAAAAAAACCCAAAACAAAAAAATGAGAGAGAAGAGAAAATCTGCTTTATGCTACTGTTAAGAGGTTAACAAAGGAAATACAGACAAAGTAAATACACAGACTTCAAAACTGTCTGCTAGTCCTCCTCCTTGAGAGTAGTATTCCTGCATTTGAACGTTAAGAGGCAAACCAAAGGGGAAAAAAAAAAACATTACATCCCGGGCTTCTGAAACTCATTCATTTCTGATATAAGGTTTGACATTTTCTGTTGTAAATTCATTCTTACAGTAACATTTTTGCCATATAAAATTGTGGGACTAAATATAAAGTAATCATTTGTTCAGTGTTGCACCCTTTACAAGGTAATAATACAGGGTACAACAAATAATTCTGGTTTTGTTTGTAAAGGCTATGAGATCCTTGACCTCAGCATACATTTCAGAAGCAACAGGATAATTGAGGTTTCTTCTCTTTGTTAGTTGGTGGTTCCCAAATGAAAGATTACTTGGAACTTACATTCTGTGGCACTTAGCAGAGACAAAATAGTCCTATTTTTCAAACTTCTCTTTGATGATGCTTTGTACCTCAGGATTTACTTCATTCCTCTCCTGTGGCCCTCTTCATCGATGGTAAATACAAATGCTTGTCAAGCTGTTCTCAGGAAGTCAACTCTAACGTGTCCACTTTAACACACTTTTTAACACACATTTTCATCCTCACACTCTCTGCCCTGCTCTCTTCAGTCGGATCCATATCCTCAGGCATTGTTTCTTTCTTGATCTATAGGTTATGATGCAGGAATCTGCTACTGCAACTCTTGGAGTTTTTGCACCCTATGATGTATTTAGACACCTTAGGAAAAATGTGAATATCAAGACATACATAGCATTCCTCTTCATTGATTATTAAAGCCACAGAAAATGAATATACTGCTCAAAGACCAAGTTCCTTATCCCCTAATCCATATGTGAAGTGGCAGAGTTCATAATTAGTCACTTCAAGATTCAAGAGACCAAGATATTCAGAGGACTCAGTTTTCATCAATACTAATCAAATGATAAAAGAAAACATTAAGGGAATTTTACACCATACCAGATAAATTATTATCAGTCAGTGTGCAAAACCGATGCAGCCAACTTTACTATCCTAAAGGGTTTTGTAACTATTGCAGATATCTCAGGTGAGAAACTTCTTCAGTCTTTTACATGCTCAGAATACATCTAGTTCTAAAAAGTGCAAATTCAGACAGATCTGTATTTTACAAACTAACTTGATAATTATTGGTATTTTGATTAGTCAACCATTAGTATTTTGCTCAGAAGCACTAAACCAACTCTGTAGACACACTCCTGCATTCTCCCTGATTTTATACCATATTGTGCAGAGTATCACGTGGTACTGACTGACAATTAAAATTCTTTAATAAATTATTTTGGAATTTGCAATTTTTCTTTCTCCTTAAAAAAAAATAAATAAAAAAAAACCAAACAAAAAACCCACACACCCAAAACCCAAAACAAAACAAAACCAAACAAACTAAAACAAAGACAAACAAACCAAACAAAAACAACAACAACAACAAAAAACCACAACAAACACCACCTTAGGTCTGAGTTTAAACCCCTTAAAAAAAGGTGTTGCAAGTATTAGCAACTGACCATCCTAATCTCTACTTTTGAAGTTGTTTGGCTGTAAATTACTCATGCCCTACCTGTTCAGGTGGAGCTGACATCCTTTTCATACTGCTATAATATAGGATCTCAATCTAGAAATCTTTTAAGAGCTTAACCTCACACACTGTCCCCCTGAGCTGAACATGGTGCCTGGTGGTAGCAAGCACTATGATAAGGAGCAGTTGCTGCATTAGACGCTCCCAGCTGCGCTGGTATTGTCATATCCTAACTTCAGATGCAGTTGTGCCACAGATTTTGTTTTACTTAAGAAATATATTTTTTAAAAAAATAATGTCACACTCATTTAAAGAAGAAAATTTTACAAAGTGAACTTTTTTGTTGGACCTAAAAATCACATTCTGGAAGCCAAAAGTGATAGCTTGGCATTTCATTTTCCAAGAAGTCTAAACAACCACAATAAATTTACAAATGTAGGCATGCTGCACTGTTAAATTTCATTTCACGCTCAGTAAGCAAACATTATCAAACTGTAAGTACTGTCATCCTCTGTCTTTTTAGTTAGAAATCTTGTAGCCAATAAAAATGTGACCTTGAAATATTTCACAGATGGATGAAGTCACTTAATTTGTTAGTCACTTTGTTACAAATTTTGCAGAACTGTTAAGTTAGGTCACATTTACTCTAATTTCACCTTGAAATAACTTTACAAACCGCATCATCAGTAAGAGTCACTGGAATTGCATCAATGAACCACGTGTCTGAATTGTCATGAAGAATTCAGTTTTGAAATTAAAAATGCTGAAATAATATAGAAGCCAAAGGTAATTTTCTTTATATGTACTAGTCCTAGAATTATTTTTAGTGCCAAAACACAAAAAGTAAGCCCACACACTATTTTTGCGGAGATTCTAATACACTGTCCAAACCACAAGATGTTTTCTGTTTATGAAGCCGGTGGCAATATACGGCCTTGTGTGAAGGGATGATTAACTGTTACAGAACACAGATGTAAAATTCTGTTCATCAGATTTTTTTCATGTGGGCTGAGTCTACTCTGATGTGTATTTTAAAGGCAAAACTAAAGAAAAAATTCCAGCGCTGTTTACTCAAGGGATAGCTATTGTTTTCTGATACTCCTATTGCATTTGATAATACACTAGAGTCACTATACAAAACAACCAAATATATACAACTGTATACTTTTTTAATTATTTAGTTAACTAAAAAAACCCCTGTTAATTTACAAGACAAAATAACTCATTACGACTTTAAAAGTTATTGAATACATTAGAGCATTTTTTTTTCAAAGAATACAAATTCATTTCAGTCTAATTGCCACATAAGACTAACTGAATAAGAATCATAAAACTCTGAAAAGAACTTAAGATCTCTAGAGTTTTAAACTACTGTACTCAAACAAAGAAGTTGAAAAATAAGCATTTTGCATATTTCAAGAAAAAAGAAAGTAAAAAGCAAACAAAAGTTAATTTAAAATACTGCTTAGTTGCTCCTAAGAATGTTCTGGTTTTTTGTCCCAAATGATTTTCTTCTAAAAGATCCACTATCTTCACCCCCCAACACATATCCCAGTAACTGATACCCCACAGGGTAAAGAGTTATTCTGAGATCAGAAAGACTGCAAAGAATAAAATCAAGCTCCTTACCACCCATGTCTGGAAACAGTCTCTCTCTCACACGTTCTTTCACTCCTGCCTCTATTCTCATGTAGAGAAGCCTACTCGAAAAGAGTAAGGCTGCTGCCCAGCACATTGACCCTACTGGCTTATATTCCCACAGTCATGGTTTCCTTCTAAGTTGACCATGGTTTGATTTCAGACATAAAATGCAAAATACTTGGACTAGACTCTCTCTTGGTCACTATGTTATTTTGGTTACTGTTACCTTTAAAAACAAGTTCTCTGAACACTGGCATCTACTGAGGCCAGTGGGAAAAACTTTCATCACCTTAAGTTGGTGCCCCATCCCTGGAAATGTTCAAAGCTAGGCTGGACGAGGCTCTGAGCGACCTGATCTAGTGGGTGATATCCCTACCCATGGTGGGGCAGTTGGATCTAGATGATCTTTAAGGTCTCTTTCAACCCAAAACATTCAGTGATTTCATGTCTTAGAAAGAGGGTTTTTTGTCGATTCTGATTTCAAGTTTTAGTGGCTACTTTATAACAACAGAAAGGAAATAGCAGGCAAGAAAGGGCAGGTGGGGGATGACCCTTTCTTTTGCAGGTTACGTTCTTGATGTCATCAACTGGTAGTCATAAACAAAGAGTCCAAAATCTGAGACCTGGTAGGTAACAGCAAAACCAAAGGAAGAGTTGGAGGAGAAAAAACAACTTGTACATCTGGCTTTAAAATATGTCGGTCCTTTAATACAATGTATCTTTGTTACAGAATTGATGACTGTCACAGTGCCATTTTTTCTGCAAAAAGAACATAGCAATGGAAGAATTTCTGTTGTTAATTTTGGAAAAAGTCTACTTGTCTGGTTTAGGAAGACTAGTCTATACTCCTTAATAGGGTGTACACTAGTTGGCCTAAAATCAAGTGCTATACCGATGGGGACACATTAATGATTTATGAACATTTATGTCTTTTATTTTACCTAGTGTATTCAATAACCTCTTAAGCGAAAGATAAAAAATTATTAATCGCATTTAAGCTTATCAAGCAAGGATTTAAATTCAATTTAATGAGATGAGTCCTATCTGCCAATACAGTCAATCTTCCCTTCTGATGCCACTTCCAAGAAGTGAAAGGGAAAATGTGATACTGAATATTAACTTGGCAGCAATGTTTCTGAAAACTGCCTTGTTGAAGGCATTGTGTGCCTATTAATATTTCATAAGCTGCTTTAAAACTAGCTTCTGGACTAAAGTAAATAAGAATTTCAACATCTAGTTCAAGTTTAAAGCAGACAAAATTTAAGAGACAATCTTGAAAATGTAATTTAAAGACATTCTTCGAGTCAAAAGACAAAATGCTAAACAAGTCAAGCCCTTCCCTACTAACTCCTTGCATTTAGCCTCTTCCTTAGTTTCTACTTGTATCTACAATATTTTGAAATCCTATATTGGCAATATTGTTCAGCTTATCAAGTTCAGAATCTTTCCATCTTTCTGCAATGAGAAGCTAACCTATCAAGTGGGCTACCATTCCAAATAATCCTTTTTTCTAAACAGTGGGAGGAGAAAAACACAAGGAAAGCAAAATACACACCCATTCACAAAATACAAGGTGAGAAAACATTCCATATTTCTGTGACATATCATCTCAGGACTGAGATATTAGGAATATCTTTTCACAATGGGCAGAGCAATGCTGACTTTGAGCCAACCATCTCTGGGAAGACCTTATTGCTGCCTTTCAGTATTTAAAGGGAACCCATACGAAAGATGCAGATAGATTCTGCAGAGCCTGCTGCAATAGAACAAGGAGTAATAGTTTTAAATTAAAAGAGGGTCGATTTAGATTAGATATAAGGAAGAAGTTTTTTACAAGGAAGGTGGTAAAACATTGGCACAGATTGCTCAGAGAGGTGGTAGATGTCCCATCCCTGGAAACATTCAAAGTCAGGTTGGACAGGGCTCTGCACAACCTGCTCTAGCTGAACCTGTTCCTGCCCATGCGAGGACAGGGGGTAGACTGGATGGCCTCTTTCAACCCAAATTATTCTATAATCACAGCGATTCAGAGTCCCAATGGTTAACAGTACCTTGAAACCATGAAATAATGCATATGGCTTCACCACTGCCTCATCCTACGAAGCCTCTTTCCATTTCTCATTTATCCACACTCTTTTGCCCCTGAAAGAGCAGTCTGAGCTCAAGGGGCCAAATACCACAATATCATCAACTCCAGAAGTTATATATGGGCTGACAATTAATTATTCACCAAACAAAAACATTTTCAAGGGTTTTTTTTTTACACTCGCACCAAGTTAGTAGATAGTGAATGTTCCAGCAGATAAAGTCACAGTACTTGAAACAATATTAAATTGGCAGCACAGAGTTGAAGGGGTAGTGTAGAAATGGGGTTATGCTAATGCCTGGGTACATTTGCTTAAAAATTTATGCAGAACAATGTTTAAATTATGCTAATGACCTGACCACAAGTGAAGAAATGCAATATTCAAGCCACTTGCAGACCTTCTTCCAAACTCATGTGTTTTTATTTTTAACGGGCACGTCAATATCCATTAAGCACAAAGAGAATTAATTTCTTTATCCCAGTCACAATTATGGCTAATATGAGTCAGACTCTTCCAGTAGTTTCAAACTGGATCTAAAATTAAGGACCAGTCATTTGTGATTATTTAATAAGTCCATGGCATTTTTATCTAAGACATGTGACTACTGGACAAAATCTCAGCAACTGCTGGCAGTTCCACTACACATGCATGAGGCAGACTTTCCTCAGTATTGCAACTGCAGACACTATGGTTTGGCTTGTGATAATTCTACAGTCTCAAAGTCACTAGTTGTCATCTTTGAGAACTCATGGAGATACAAGACTAGAAAAAGTAAACTTCAATCTTAAAGCAGAGGGAGGGAGGGACAGGAAGATCTTTACATGGTTGGTATTAAACTTTCACTCAAGGAAATAATGGCATTAAAAAATTAAACAGAACAGTTAAACAATAAACCAAGAAATAACACCAGGGAAAAAAAACAAAACAAAACAAAACAAAAACAAACAGCCAAACTGGATTTCTCACAATTAAATCATGCTCAATTAGCAGCAAGACAGCAAACCACGGAGACAACAAGAACATAATAGATATCATATGTGCTAACTAATTATTCTCTCATGTATGTAACATATATCACTCTTAAATAAAGTTTGCCTATCTCGGGGTGAATGCAAAACTGACTGGAAAGCTATGCTAAATCCAAACAGAAAAGCAAATAATTTGGAACTTTTTGGATCCTCTGTTGTTCAATATTTTACTTTCTATACATTATGCATATGCAATCCTTTATGTGCAATTTCCACTTTTATCTATCTAGGTCATTAATAAATCCCAAGACATCACCAATCTTAGACCGACTTCAAGCACTCTGGATGAGCAGATTAGAAAAGAAAATAAACAGACTGAAGTAATCATCTGAAAGAAACAAGATGACTTTCAATAGGGAGAAATCCAAGATATTCCAATAAGCAGGAATATGCAACTGTATAAACTGAGGATGAAGAACAAGTGATTAGGTAGGTATTAGCCTGAAAAGCATCTGGTGACCACAATCATTAGTTGAACCCAGCTCCATAACATTTACTATGGTAAACTATGCAAATATACAGATATCTCTAACAGCATTATAGCAGACACAAAGGTATTTCTTTGCTCTCTTCTACACTGGTAAGGTTTCAACAGGATGTTCCAAAAAAAGTGTGCATGGATTAAAGATCTGTAAAATTTAATCTGAATAAGAAACAAAAGAGAAGACTGAGGTGGAAACAGAATAAACAGTACAGAAACGTCAAAGACCATGAAAAAGAAAGAAAATCTATTTTCCATTTTCTACAGGGATATCTGGAAGACTCAGGTGGAACATAAGATAAAACATTCGGCAATGTGGGCAGTGAAGTGTGGCATGGTCTGACAGAAATCCCAAGAAATTCAACTAAAACAAATGCCAAAATCTACAAACCAGGCACCAGCTGGAAAGGAAAGCAGCTCTACTGAAAAGGACTGAGGGGTCCTGTGTGACAACACGTTGTACATCAGCCTGCAGTGCATCCCTGTAGAAATGAAGACCAACTTCATACTGGGCTGAATCAGAAACAACAGAGACAGCAGATAAAGTGATGTGATCCTTCTCCACAATTCAGCACTTGTGAGACCACCGCAGCATTTAGTCCCATCTGGAGCACTCCAGCAGAGAAAAGGATAGAGACATACTACACAGAGCCAGCCCAGTGGAGGGCCACAACAATGATCAAGGGGTGGAGCAGGCAGCGTATGGAAAGAGGCTGAGGGGTTCAAGTATGTTTAGTTTCTAATCTTTAGAAAAAAAGATTACAGGAAATCTAAGTGCTGTTTTCAAGATTACGGAGAAGAGCAAGTCAAGCTCTTCTCAGAGATTCACTGTGGAAGGACAAAATGCAACAGACACAAACTGCAGAAAGCGAAACTCCACTTATTCCAATTAGATAGAAGGAAGAAAAAAATCATAGTAAAAGTAGTAGAACTTCAGAGCATGTTTCTCAGAGAAGACTTACCATCCTTGGAGTTATTCAAAATTCAGCTGAATAGGGGCCCTGAGCAACCTGACCCAACTTCAAAGGTGGCCCTGCCTTGAACAGCAGGCTAGAACAGACAGCTTCCAGAACTTCCTTTCTACCTCAGTTATTCTATAGTTCTTCTACAGGGTCTGTGAGGAATAACAAAGAGAGTGCCTTGGGCTAGGAGAGCAGCTGTACGATCTCCAGAGGTTCATTCCAGCTATTTTTTTCTGCAGTCCTCAAGACTGAAAGGCACTAATAAATATTCAGACAGAATATATGTTGTCTTCTCTTTATGTGAACAGTGCCACATACATTTTAGCTAATGGGTTACAAATATAAACAAATATACAATATTAAATACTTAAAAATTTGACACCAATAAAACTCAGAAATTAATTTTAGATACCAGACGACATGGAAAATTAGGGGAAAAATTATAGTGGAGTATGTTGCAAAAGTCAGCATATAAAATAACATTTTCAAATACTTCCTTATCCCCTCTGCAATTCCCAGAGAGGCTCTCAGGCACTTTGCTGATAGCCAAAGTTGCAACCTCCACTTAGTGCTGGGTTGACAGTCTATAGTGAGAAAGGAACACATGGTGCACAATCACTTTAAAATCTCCTTTTAACTTTCAAGGCCTTAAAGCACAAAAGACAGAGAGATCAGTTATATTGCATAGGGAATTTACCTGTGGATCTTCCAAAAATATTTAAGGCAGGAACAAAGATCCCTCAGCTGATCACCTATAACTTTCTAAAACTAGTTTTACACTGGAAGTATGATCATACAGTCCCATTTTCTGTATCTCACAGTTTAGTGACCACTGGTGATGTATGCAGTCCACAGAGGAGAACTAAACCTTAAGATGATACCTTTTAATAAAAGAACTAAATTTATTATAAGGTCAAAATTCTGTAACATCCTCTCTCACCTGAATATCATTTTGAATGTTCAGATGCAAAATAAAAATGCTTTTTTAAACTTTGGACCAACACAGATTCCTGTTAAGGTGCAGACATAATGCTTTGTCCTCACTGTAAAAAAGCTGCTGATAAATGAAAGAGCTTGCTTGAACTGCTTACATTAATCCACTAGTGGCAGGAGAAATCATGGTAATAGCAATTATTTAATGTGACTGATTTTGTCAGCTTAAAAGAATAAATACTGCTTGCATGATGAAGATCTATAATTTTTGACATATTTTGTGTAAGAAAAAATCATGGCTACCTGAAGTATTGGTCAGCAGTTTGTTTTTGCACAACTCTTTTTAAAGGTAGGATTGCCCTTCCTCCAACGAAACCTGTAAATCTTTCGACATTATAGTTCAATGAATAGCCCAGCACAGTTCTCAAACTCTGTGAAGAAAGTTCTTTAGATGCATCTCATAGGCGGGCAAAAAAATCTTATATTCATATATGCAGAAAACAATAGAATGCTCCCTTGCTGTGAAGCCTGAATTCTCAACCTGAATATAAACATCTATTTATATAAATGTATATATATGTTTTCTTTTACAGTAATTCTTATTATTTTTGGTGACTCAGTTATATAAAATAAGCATATATACATATTACCCATAGAGAATAAAGACAGATTTTTAAACTTAGTGTTAGTAGGTTTAACATAAAATAAATTAACAATACTGCTACAATTTAAAGTTAAGCAAGTATATACGCCTATATACTCCAGAACCTATATACGTGTACGTAAAGACATGCACACACAGACCTTTTATTGAAATAAGAAATCTAGATTTTAAAAGCTTAAGATTTAGTAATATTTTGATAGTTCCATACTTATCTAAAATAGTTTTTCTTACTTCTACCATACTAAAAACTTGAGTTTGTAAAACATGTTGTTACCTAGGAAACAAGAATGCATGTGTAATAGAAATAAAAATTCAAAAATCTTGGATGAAACTATATATACTAGAAGTGAGTAATTTTTCTTTCAATTCCCCATATCCAAGCCAAAGACATATAAACAATGTATACATGATCTCAGTAATAATTTAATGGTTAAAAAAAAAAAGATTAACCATCCTATATAATGGGAGAAAAAAAGTATTATTTTATACTTATTTATCTTTTTCAGACATCATTACTGGAAGCTTTATTTTTCAAAACCAACTGGCATCCTGTTAGAAAAAACTTAAACTAATGGTACAAAAGAACAACACAGCTCTCTGAGAGAAGCACTAAGTTGTTTGACAGAGGATCTCTCTAGCATGAATAGAAAAGAAATTTCTGTTTCAACTTACAGGGGAAACCTACTGTTTGCAGGTGCAAAGTTTCAGGGGTAGCATTTTTTGTTATATTTTATCTCCTGGGAAAAGCAGAAATTGTCACAACATTTTTATGCGCTATCTGAACACGACATTTAGATACTGACAGAACAAGGCACACAGTCAGTAGTCTTTGTAAATGCTGTTTGGTTGGGTGTGCTGTTTTTTGAGATTTTATACACTAATAAACTCATACATCTGACAAAACAAAAAACTTTTTTACACTGTTCATTCTAATTAAATCAGTTTGCTTACAAGCATTTTGAAAATGGGTAATACCAATAACTTGCTTAATTTTCAAAGTCTATTTCTTAGCAAACAAGAAAGTCAAGATAATTGCTGCAGGGAAAAAAATGTCGTAATCGTATCCCATGAAATACTGTATTTAAGAAAAATGCAAGAAAGGATTCTGATACACCGACTTAGGAAAGGGATTAGGTTAATACCACTTCTCTTCTAAACACTGCATTTAACACACTTCAATTATATATCTTTGTTAATTTATGAGTTCTCATGTCTGGGCTAAACTTGTTACTAGACCACAATAGATAAGAAAACAGTAGTGGGATTAAATTAGGAGCTGTAAAACTTTCGTGGATTACTTAGAGCTAGAAAATTTCAAGATGCTGCACAGATTACTAACTAGATATTCTAAGGGTAAAACCAGAAGTGTCATCAGGCAGAAGTGTTTGTGGTGAGCGCTGCATTGCAGAGGTAGGAAATACATCAGAAGGTTTATTGTTCTCATTTCTCAGACATAAGATTCTTGATCCATTAGTCTTTATATTCTGCAGTGCTATTCTAATGACTTCAAACACTTGCAAGTTCAAAATCACTGAAAGGTATCTTTAAACAACTCAGAACATGTCGAATTCTTTTGCATGGAAAATAACAAAGGTTCTGAATAACATCAAAATAAATGCTTACCCATTTGGTGTATTCAAAAGGCAAGAAAAACTTAAGAGAGGCTATAAAAAATAAAGCAGTAAAAGTAACCCTACTAGATACAAACACACTCAAGTACAAACAGCAACTGCATGTGCTGGAAAATGTGTTTTTATCATGGTTAGAAACAATTATTTGAATTATCATAGTCTCCAGTTGTCTTTCTAGTCGCCATTCCAATAAGTTTGTATAACTTTTCATATATGAAGTCTGTCTGTCCTGCTTTGTGCTGTTCATCCCACTTGACTTTTGCGTGACTATGACTTCTCTCGCAGTCTTGCCTTTTTTCTTTCTTCCTTTCAACTCTCCAAACCTTCTCAGTCATCTTTATCTTTTCCTTATCCTCCAAAGATCTTTTTTCCCTTCCCAGATCCAGGTTAAAAATAAGCCTTCCGAGGAGGGTCTAGCATCCATGCTATAAGCAGCTGTTCCCTCTTCTTGTGTGCATTATAGAAATTCAAAAACGATGGCACAGCTGGAGCTTTAATGTAGCCATCTGCCACTCGAAAAGACATTCTCTATCATTAGACCGTACTTATTTTGGAAGGAACATTGAAACCTACAATATTAAATTAATTTTCTCTTATTTTTCTCTGTTGCTGCTGCAGCTGACATATGTGATTCAACCTACTCTTTGCAAGAAGGGCCCATTTCCACATCCTCTTGAGTAGATTTTTTTTCTTCCTAAAGCTCCATCAAGGCTGCCCAATGCAGATCTCTCAAGTTGTTTTCGCTGTCATCTTCGAAGCAGGTTAATTTTCTTTTCTTCCCCAGCTCTTGCTCTGTAAGAACAGCTCCAGATAAAAGCAGGAGGGCGTTCACAGCATCATCGTGAGTGGTGTTCACTGCAATGAGCAAAGAGGGCAGGCTGCATCATCTGCAGTGGGCTAGGCCATGGGTGGTGGGGCAGCACTGGTCCGTGCCAGACAGAGCCCCGGGTAAGGACTCGCATTTTATCACAAGAACAGAGGAGCCATTGCTAGGTCTGTCTGAGTTTCCTCAGTGGAGGATGAACTATTCAAGCATCATCTTCAGGCATCTGTCATTTCTGGACACATCTCAGAGAAATAAAGAAGTGCTTAACTTTCCAACTCGATGCATTGCTGAGACAGGTACTTGGAACGTTTTTTAATTATTTGGCTTTGACAAAGATCTGAATGTTGAACACCTAAAAAGAATCTGAACACAGGTTCTCAATCAATGAGCCTTTCTGTTTCCTACCCTTTTTTCTTACATTTTTGTCCTGGTTTTCATGTCTAACGTACAGCAGGAG